TTTTTTCTGTACTCAAAAAGGAATTAAAACTAGCTGCTGGCATTTTCTGAGGGATGCTTCAAGTCTATTCTAGGGTGCCTTGAGTTTTTAAAAAGGTTGATAATTACTGAATTAGAGAAACCTAGAACACACTCTGAGATGCCCCTGAATGTTTAATTATTTCAGCAGACTACACATAAATGCCAATCTTTTTTCATATTAAATATGTTTTTAATTAGGTCAGTGGTTGTGGTTAGACAACACTGCAGTGGATTTTGTCAACTGGAATGTAGGAGAACCTTCAAGCCAACAAAATGAGCACTGTGTTGAAATGTATGCAAACTCTGGGCTCTGGAATAATATTTATTGCTCTTCCTATAAAGGATACATTTGTAAAAGATCCAAAAGTAAGTGATGGGTTTATGGATTTGCTTTATGCTTACTGGAGTTTGTAGTATGTACTGCTTACAGTGTGCGCATTACTAGTAGATATTGGCCACAAAGATGACAGTTATAGTTATGATAGATCTCTTCTGTGGGTTATACACAATATATAACTGACATGCATAGCACCAGCAAGAGAGAGAGAAGGTAACATTAAAAAAGAGATGTCTTTGTATTTAAAGGATACCTTTAAAGGATATTCTTTCCTGGAACACTTTAAGGTGTGGTGATTAGTGAGAGGAGGAGCCAATAACAACATTGTTCTAAGGTTTCAAGATTTAGAATATTCCTGAAATAACTGAATGAACAAAATCAGAAAAAATCTGTGTAAAAAAAGTCATGCTGTATTTGGTGAAATGCCTTCAGTATTTCAAATATGCATAGTTCCTTCATAAGAATAGAAGTTCTGAAAATCCACTTCCTTTGCTGGAAATCTACTCTTGAGGGCACAGTGATCTGAGTCACCAAAAGTCTTGCAAAATTCTCCAGGAAAGCTTAATGGCCCACTCAAAGTCCACTTATCAGTCTTTTAACCTGGTGATTGATGATGAACATACAAATGGTGTGTGATGGACTTACTTATGTTGTAGGTGAGTGAGTAGAAATTTTAAGGCTGTAACAGTCTTCCGTTGTATAGCCAAGAGCAGATGCATACAATGAATATAAGCTGACACATTTAAAAAGTTTGAAAATAGAGCACTGAACTTATTTTTGTAACTGGTTGCCATGGTTATGGAAGCATGTTAAATTTTATTTTTCTCTTTGATGAGGCTTCAGATGGAATATTTTCCTTTGATTGATTCATAGTGTTTTTACCAAAGCTACCCAGAACTTTGGAAAACTTTATGTTCCATGTATAAACTTGAATTTCATTTAATAAACGTAGATGTTTCTTAGCTCACATTTTTCCGCTATTATGACAAATACTAATCTCACTCAGGAGTCAAATATGTCTAGCAGGTTGTCTGTTTTCTGTGATTTCTTAGAGAAGCAATTATTATGCTCAGTAGTGGGTCTCACGCCTGCAAGCTGCTTTACATACCAAACTGCTGTATATGTACAGACTTCCGTAGAGCACAGGAGTCTAAATGGAGCTTAAGGCAGGGATGTTTGTACATCTCAGAATCATTGTAAGTCTTGAATCTACTTTAGATTAATCATATGCATGTACTAGTAAAATGTAGTTTTTTCTTTATATAACACCATAGATTTACCTGGCTCAGTACAGGCAAAAACAAGAGAGTTTTTTTGAATATATGCATTAGTTTGCATTAATGTACAATGCTCAGAGTATACCAAAAACTTCTATAAATAGCTGCTTTTTTCTTCTGTTTCCAAGTTGTTGAAATGAAAGCAACAGAGAAGCCACCAGACCAAAAGGGTAAGAATATTTTTTCTTAAATGAATGAAGGAAAATCCCAAATAAGAATATAAGTATATGATACCAAATTATATTTTTATGGGACACAATTTTCATGTTGATGTGTTAAATCATTATCAGCTGCTTTTTCTAATATCTATATCCTTTCTACGTCCAAATGTAGTAATCTCTGAAACTGCATTTTATTTTATGTTAAGCTTTTAAAACTGTTTGCTTCATATGTTCATGTGGTACTGCTGCCTTCTTGTTTAGTCAGCAATTATTTGGAAATGAAAAAGCATTTGTGCATGAACAATTACTGTTTCCTAATAGTAGAATTATTTTTGCTAAGGATAAGATAATATTTAGCATAGTCTTGCTTTGTACTAATTGTTCTGCATTATTTACAGCAGTAAAAAAAGGGAACAACACGAGGAATGAGGTTCATGCACCTTCCCACAACTCTACTGGGATTGTAGCTATTGTGGTGATCCTTATCCTATTAGGAGCTGGCCTTGCAGGCTATTTCTTTTACAGGAAGAGAAACAACCACTCATCAACAAATGACAGCTTTGAGAACAACTTGTATTTTAATAGTGAAACGGTTCCTGGAACTAGTGACACAAAGGACCTTGTGACCAATATTGAACAGAATGAACATGCTGCTCTTTAGTGTAATAAAATAAAGATGTGCCTTGTTTTAATAAAGCTATGCAACTGGAATTAAGCCAAAGCTATTTTCTTGTGAGCAAATGCTATAGTAGTCAGGTTTTTTGGCTGTTTATTCTTTTTACATGTTAGCATCTGCAGTTACTTTGTTTCATAATCATGTTATATTTGTGTAAAATTCCAGATGTAGCCAAACAAAAGCGGGTCTTGTGAAAAGATAAAGTGCTGCTGAATTATTAAATGGAACAAGCAGATGTACTTAAGAGAATTTAAAATGTATATGTGGCCAATGAGAGTAAGACTTCAAGATTTTACCAGACCTGTATCAGCCACCAGACATATATAACCATCAGCCATAAAGTCTGTCCAGCCCATGCTATTCAAAATTGCTCTGTAAAGAACCTGCCTGTTTCTAATATCTTGCAAATATTCCTGGAAACCTCACTACAGGCTTTGACATTTGTTAATTGATGGGGTCATATTTAAGTACAATCTGTTTGAAAAACAAAGCCAAAGAAACAGCCTCAGGGTCTTGTTACATGGTAATTTTGGGAGGCTCCTGGAGCTCTTAACCCTTGGATTGTCCACATATTAACACCTAAAACTAGTTTTAAGC